TTAAGTCAGTGTATGGCCTTCACACATTGCAAGAAATTTGGTTATCTCTGGCTAATAAATACAACCGAGTGTCTGGTACAAGAAAACTAGATCTGCAGAGACACATTTACACTACAAAGAAAGGTACAAAGATAATGTCTGCCTATCTCTTTGAGATCAAGTCTCTTTGTGATCAACTTGAATCTATAGGATCTTCCATTAGCGAACAAGAAAAAATATATGGGCTCTTGAATCGATTAGTAAGAGAATATGAATATGAATATGTATGTGATATTATCGAGCACTCTATGGATATGTTACATAGTCTTCTCTTTAACGATGTGGTTCACAAGCTGGCTGGTTTTTAAGATAAGCTTCAAGTGTATGAGGTTCAATCTGAAGTTATCAGGCTTTCTACACAGACCGTGGAGGTTACTCTAGACGTGGTCATGGCCAACGAGGAGACTACAGAGGATGCAACTATTCAACCCAAGGTAGAGGCTTTCACTAACATATTGGACAAAACTACACTTGTGGTGACTCTGCTTCGGGTAACAATCATCGCCCTACATGTCAGATTTTCGGAAAGTATGGTCATGCTGCCTACATATGTTACAAACATTTTAATCATGCGTACAACCGGAAGAAGTCCCTCAGACCATGGCTGCAATGAGGATTTATGATGCTCAAGAACTCTCTAGTAGTGAATGGTTTCTAGACACTGGGACTACTCATCACGTCACGAACAACAAAAAGAATCTGTAAAGCTCTTACCAATACGATGGAGCTGATTTGGTGATGGTATAAAATGGGGATTTTTTACCTATCACACATGTTGGTTTTGCAAATCTGTCATCGGTTACTGGTACATTAACTCTCAAAGATATTCATGTTTGCCCAGATATGGAAAAGTCTATGCTCTTTATGTCTAAAGTGACAGATGATTATCCATGTGAATTTACTTTTGACTCTCACACTGTGTTTGTTGAGGACAATCAAACAAAACAGCTTCTAACACATGGAAGTAAACAAAAGGGATTGTATCGGTTAGAGAATCCCAACTTTATGGTCTTTTACTCTTCATGTCAACAACTTTCAAGTGATCGAATATGGCACACAAAATTAGGACATCCTCACCAGCAAATCCTTCAATATATATCCTCTATCAATGCTATCAAGTTAAATAAGACTGTTTTGTTCAAGTGTGAATCCTGCAACTTGAAAAAGTGTGCAAGGTGCCGTTTTCTTCTTCTGTTTTAAAAGTTTTTAAACCTCTTAAAAGAATACATAGTGATGTTTGGTGGCCTAGACCTGTTGTGTCAACTCAGGTTTTTTTATATTACATTGATTCATTGACAACTTTTCAAGATACAATTGGTCATTTCCATTTAAACATAAGTTTGATGTTTTCAATACCTTCACATTGTTTCAACAAAAAGTGGAAACTCATTTTAACACGAAAATCAGTATTTTCCAGAGTAATGGAGGTGGTGAATATGTAAATTACAAGTCCTGCAACATTTTCGAGATTGTCGCATAACTCATTACTTGTCGTGTTCACATACTCCCGAGCAAAATTGTCTCACAGAGAGGAAGCATTGGCATCTTAATGAACTTGGTATGACGATGATGTTTCAGAGCTGTGCTCTCAGACTCTTTGGGTCGAAGCTCTTTTGACAGCTAACTATCTTATCAGTCTCTTACCCACATCAGTGTTAGCTTCTTAGTAGAGTTTGTTTCAAGTCTTGTTTGGCAAAGATCCAGTTTGTAAAGCTCTACGAATATTTGGAACCGCATGCTACCCATTTCTCCGTCATTATGTAGAAAACAAATTTGATCCTAAGTCACTATTGCGTGTAGCGATACAAATGATATAGATGTTATCATCCTTCAACTGGAAGGGTGTAAATCAGCATGCATGTACTATTCAAGGAAGACCAAATTCCATTTAAGGATTCATACAAAGATTTTGTTCCTGCAGGATCTACATTGTTGATGAGTGCTTGGTTAAAATCTTCAGAACTGAATGAGTAAGATACTGAGAATGTTCCATCAAAAGTGCATGGTTCAGAATTGCTGCCTCAACTACCTGTGCATGTTCAGATTACTACAACAATTGAACTTATAATAGCAGCAGCACCTACATTATCTCCAATACTAGAGTCTTCAGGTTCTTCTCTTGCAAGCTCTTTAGCTGGCTCAACGTCATCACCGTGTGGTTCTAATGATCAACAAGAGTAAATATTGAACCTCAAGTTGTTCAGGTTGAACCACAATAGAATAACCAATATGTCATGGCTACACGATCAAAAGCAGGTATTAGGAAACCAAATCCTCGCTATGTTCTGCTTACTTCAAAAGAAATACCAATGGAAATGAAGACTGTTGCTGCTGCACTTAAGCATCCAGGATGTACTGGTGCTATGGGTGAAGAAATATATACATGTCATGAGACAAATACATGGTCTTTGGTTCCATCTCCACAAGATGCGCATGTGTTGGGGTGTCGTTGGGTTTATAAGACAAAATAAATACAGATGGTACAGTTCTGGTGCTGAGAGCTAGAGTGGTTGCTAAAGATAATGAACAAGAAGAAAAAGTAGATTTTTTAAAAACATTCAGTCATGTGGTAAGGACAACTACTGTTAGAATGGTCATACATACTGCAGTTGTTGCAAAATGGGAGTTAAAACAACTTAATGTAAAGAATGCCTTTTATATGGATTTGCATGAGACAACCACCAGAGTTTGAAGACAAGGAATATCCTGATTATGTATGTATTTTACACAAAGCAATCTAAAATCTTAAACAAACTCCAAGATCTTGGTTTGACAAGTTAAGTTATCCCCTTGAATTCGGGTCATCTGCAGTACAAACGATCCATCACCATTTGTTTTTCAATAGAATACAAACATCATGATGGTACTTGATGACATGGTTTTGACAGGAAACAACAATGCACTACTGTAATCCTCTCTACAATCTCTAAAGTAAAAGTTCAGAATTAAGGATATGGGCCATTATGTTACTTTCTTGGTATTCATGTGCATCAAATATCAGAGGGTCTGTTGTTTAATCAAGAAAAATATGCCATTGAGCTTCTTCATGCTGCAGGAATGTTGGATTGTGCTCCGATGCCAACACCTTTACTGCTTCAGGTAAACCGGTTTCCAGAAAAAGAACTTTACTCAGATCCGACATAACTTAGGAGTTTAGCTGAAAAACTCTAATATGTCATCCTCACATGTTCAGACCTGCAATATGCAGTCAATTATGTGTGTCGAAGAATGCACTTACCAGTACTTTTGGGTTTCTCTTGCTAAAACACATTCTCTGGTATGTTAAAAGTACGTTGAAGATGGGAATACAATTTCTATATGACACTAATTCAACACTACATGCATATAGTGATAACGACTGGATGTGTATAGTGAAACACAAAGATCGACTACAAGATTCTATACATTCTTAGGTTCAAGCATCATTTCCTAGAATGCAGTAAGACAAGATTTTGTTTCTCGGTCATCAACAAAAGCAGAGTATTGTGCCCTATCGGATATTGCTGTGGAAATAGTCTAGATATGCAAGATTCTTAAAGACTTGGGTCTTACTCAAGATAAACCGGTGGAGTTGTGTTGTGATAATCTGTCCGCTGTTCACCTTATTGTAAATCATGTGATACATAAGAGGTCTAAACATTTTGAAACCTATTATCACTTTGCAAGGGAGAAGGTAGTTCTTGGATGATGATCATCTATCACATTTTTCGGAGTTGCAACTAACAAATACTTTCACAAAATCCTTGTCGCAATAGTTATTCTTCAATCTTAGATACAAACTCTGGTTGATCAACTAACCACCTCGAGTTTGATTTGGGGGGTGTAAAAAAAACCATATTGATATCATTGCATTTGTTAGAAGAAAAAAACAAATGTCCGTACCATGATAAATCCACACACATGTCAAGTTCATAATCAAAACCAGCAACGATCACCGTGACCAAAAGCAACATACAAAATAAAGAAGGTAACACCGAACATACGACTCTGCCACCTCACAATGTTCAGCTAAGAATTAAGAACTGTCAAATGTGACAGCTATGCTCTTAATTTTCATTGTCTAAAAGCTATATAAATTGTGTTCTTTGTATTCACATTGAATAAATGCATTTTCACTCCTACATTTGGCTGATGTTATTTAAATTATTCTTCAACTTTAAATTTATTGATTCTAATATATAATTTCAAAAATAAGATCGAGAACCGAGTATACATATTCTTTTATGAAAGAAATAAAAAAATGTTATGCTGAGACAAAATTAAAAAAAAATGGCTACATTGGAGGTACGCTTGCGTTTTTTGTCTGAACCGAACGGGCTGAACCGGACCAAACTGTTTTTTTTTTTGGTTTTCGGTTCAGTTCGGTTTTCAAATCGGTTCAGTTTGGTATGCTTTTAAAATTTAATTCGGTTTTCGGATCGGTTCGATTCAGTTTTCAATTTTAAAAAATAAAAATAAAATATTAAAAACTGAAAATATCCAAAAATAACCTGAAAAATCGAACCAAAAATTACCAAATAACCCAAAAATAACTGAAATAACCGAATTTAACCGAAAATATCCGAATATTTTGGAAAAATTATAGCAAAGTTAACCGAAAACTAAAAAAATCGGTTATTTTCAGAAATAAAATTGAAAACCAAAATAAACCTAACCAAACCGAAATTTCATTTGATTTATTTTGGAATTATTTTAAAAAACTTCGGTTAACTGAAAACGACGGTTCGGTTTTGAAAAACCGAAGTCGCATGCCCAATTGGAGGGATTGGATATAGAAAATCGAGTTTAAGTGGCTTAAACAAAATAATAAATGACCGAATTAATTCGGACATTATCTTATTGAACCGGGATAACCAAGTTTAACCCGACCGGTCTTGATCGCTGACATTGATGCTAGTTATTACTTAATCTTATCTGACATTGATACCCAAAATTTGAAGTTTAGAAAATTGATGAGCTTCATGGATCTTACTTTCAATCACAGATTCGTAAAGGTTAATGGAATCAACATGCACTTCGCCGAGAAAAATCCCTCCGTCTCCGATAATGGTGCTTTTGACGAAGTTATACGTCCTCCGGTGATACTCTTCCTCCACGGATTTCCGGAACTCTGGTACACGTGGCGGCATCAGATGGTGACACTCTCTTCGTTAGGCTACCGTACAATCGCCCCCGACCTGCGCGGCTACGGAGACACGGAGGCGCCGGAGAGCGTGGACGCGTACACGAGTCTCCACGTGGTCGGAGATTTGATTGGATTGATCGACGCGGTGGTCGGAGATGGGGAGAAAGTGTTCGTGGTGGGACACGATTGGGGAGCAATTATCGCGTGGCATCTGAGTCTTCTCAGACCGGACAGGGTTAAGGCTCTTGTCAACATGAGTGTGGTGTTCGAGCCTTGGAGCCTTAAGAGGAAACCCATCTCCATGTTTAAATCCTTTTATGGCGATGACTACTATATCTGCAGATTTCAGGTGTTCTTTGAATAGACTCTAATGAATCTGTCTGTAGAACAGTGTAGTTACTTACTACAAACGTTGTTAGTTTGTTCGCTGTTGAATAGACAGTGGACTGTTTTGCTTGAGATTCAGAGCAGAGAAAATAGATGTTTTATAGAACACAGTAGTTACTACAAGTGTATGCTTAGTTTGAAACATGGAGCTAATCATATTTACTGTCCAAACGTTGTTAGTTTGTTGTCTATTGTATAGACATTCGACTGTTTTGCTACAAGAGATGTTTTTTATTTGTATTTTTTTTTTCCATTTTGCAGGAATATGGGGAAATAGAGGCGGAATTCGCTAAAGCTGGGACGGAACGAGTTCTTCTAGAGCTCTTAGCGTATCGTAATCCTGGTCCTATACTCTTGGCTAAAGGAAAAAGCTATGATGATCCTGTTTCATTGCCATCTTGGCTAACTGAGTATGATGTCAAGTATTACGTTTCAAAGTACGAGAAGAGTAGCTTCACTGGACCTATAAACTACTACCGAAATATGGATCGGTATGTTTTCTGTATACGCCCCCATGTAACTTGCTTGAGTACACACTCACTTGCATGTATAGCCTTTTGAAACGATAATTCTGATTGCGTTACTCTCAACTCGTTTGGCGTGTGTCTTAAGTGATGCGTTCTTTAGCAATACTCTCCACTTTTTTGTTTTTTTAGTGTGGCAATCACTTTCTGCTTTGAACTTTGCAGAACGTGGGAGATGATGGGGCCATTCTCAAATGCTCAGGTGAAAGTTTCGGTTAAGTTTATAATCGGTGATCAAGATTTGACGTATCACATTCCAGGCACCAAGAAGTACATACACGATGGCCTGTTTAAGAGCCACGTACCGTTGTTAGACGAAGTTGTGGTAATTAAAGGCGTTGGTCATTTTCTCCATGAGGAAAGGCCTGACGAGATAAGTAAACACATCCACGATTATTTCCTCACTTTTAGACCCCATTTTGTATTTAGAGAAGCGTTCCCTTCTCAATCGAAAGATATAAAGCTACAAAAAAATAAGCGAATTACATAAACGTTGTTATCTCTATGTAATGTTCGTTCATATCTCAAGATATTTTTGTAGCTTTTGATTTTGTAGAGCTCACAATTTCCTCAGGAATGACATGTACCAAAAGACTTTTTAGGGTTTATCATCCAAATCTGTTTGGTAACAATTAAGACATACATAACAGGAAACTAACTACAACGTGATGAGACGATGATAATAATGCGGATTGAACATCACAATATCTCTTTCTCGGGGTTCTGCGAGTTGTTAACCAGACTTGAAGAGAAGAACAGCTTTTTGGTCAAGGTAGAAGTAAACGAAATGGTTTGTCTCGTGTGTTACATATGAACCTGCAGGGGAACGGAACATGCATGAAAACGAGTAAATAGTATGGGCGAGAAGTGACACAAATAGTATAGTAACTGTTCAACAAAGCACAAAAGACAGAACATACAAAGATCCGAATATAACTCTGATTA